TGAAGAAGTTTTCATTTCCCCATTTGATAGCTATGATTTCCTTGTTGAATATCAGTTGACCATAGCATTCATCTTATTTTCATGAATTCCATTAGTTTCTGCTTGTCTGCCATTCAGTGAATCCCTGTATTACAGAGTCTTTGCATTTTTCTGATATTTCTAGTGTGACCACAGATGAGCCCTCAAAGCTATTTGACTGGTGTTGGGTATAGCCATCTCTAGGATAAGACCAGGAGGGAGGGTCTTTGAAGTCTTCTAGGCTGCTGCCAGTAGTAGTGTATGCTAGTAGTGGATGTGATCTGGGGTTTTCCCAAGGGTTCCTCAGACAAGCCATTCATCCAGCATCATTTGGTGACTCACATTCACAGCATCACAGATTGGAGGCATGCCTTGGGGGCACAGGCAGGTGTGGTTATCCCAGCTAATGTCAGTGAGCAAAGCTTTTGCATAAGGGAGCTTTTCTATCAGAATGATGATGTTGTTTGCCATTGAGTTGGAGCTTACCCATGTTTGATGCTCCAGCAAGTTTTCAGAGGCAGTAAATCACTAAAAAGGAGATTTCTCATCTTTCTTTCAATGAACAGTTGGTGGATTTGAACTGTGTACTTTTGCTTTGGCAGCACCCTTTCTCACTACTCTCTATCAGAATGTTGTTGTTGTGCACCATTAAGTTGGAACCAATCACAAATGATATTCTGGTGGGTTTTCTGAGGCAGTTAATCACCCAAGAAGAGACTTCCCATCCTTCTCCCACAGAGAACCTGGTGGATTCAAACCATGTGTCTTTGAGATTGTCAGGCAGTTTCTTACCATCAAAGATCCCTTCTATCAGAATGCTGTTATGTGCCCTCGAGTCAACTATGACTCACAGCGACCTTATGCTCTATCCTGACCGAGCCAATCTCACTGTCTTTGACACAGACACACTTACCCTCATCACCCCAATATTATGTTAATCCATCTCATTTAAGTTCTTCCTCTCTTGTGTTGTCCCTCAACATTTTCAAGAATGATATCCTTCTCCAAAGATTGGTCCCCCCTGGCAGCATGCCCAAAGTATGTGAGGCAATTTCAAAGTTCAAAGTCCTTCTTCCAACAAGCAGCCTAGTTTCACCCTCTTGAGGACAGATCTGTTAGTTCTCTTGTCAGTTCATGGTATGTTTAATACTCCTATCCACAACTCAAAGGCATCAATTCTTCTTGGGTCATCCTTGGTCATTGTTCAGCTCTCTGATGCGTAGCAAGTAATTACAATGACAGTGGCTTGGATCAGGTACACTTTAGTCTCTAGACTGTCATCCTTGCTCTTTAGCACTCTGCAGCAGTGCCCGACAGCTGATTTACCTAATGCAATTCATCTTTTTATTTCCTCACTGCTCACTGCTCATGCCAAGAGTGTTGATTGTGGAACCAAGCAAGATGAAATTGTTAACAATATCAATCTCCTCTTCATATATCATGATGTTACCAGTGGTTACAATATTTTTTTTCTTGATGTTTAGTTTCTATCTATTGTAAACTATAGTCCTTGATCATCTGCAGCAGATGTTTCAGGCCCTCCTTAGTTTCAGCAAGTAAGGTTGCATCATCTGCATAACGCAGCTGTTGATGAATCTTCCACCAATCCTGATGCCACGTTCCTCCTCATAAAGCTCAGTTTTCCGAATGATCTGTTCTGCATATAGATTGAAAAGTCATAGAGACAGGACGCATCCCTGATGCACTCTTTTCTTGATTTTGAACCATACACTGTTTCCTTGCTCTGTTCTGATGACTGCCTCCTGGTCCAAGTATAGGTTTTGCATGAGTACAATCAGGTATTCTGGGATTCCTATTTTTCTAAGAGTCGGCCATAATTTGTTATGATCTACACAGTCTAATGTCTTTGCATAGTTAGTGAAACACAGATATACATTCCTCTGGTACTCTCTGTATTGGTCAATATCCATCTGACATTGGCAATGACGTCCTTAGTGCCACAGCCTCTTCTAAATTCCACTTGTATTCCTGATAGTTCTCTGTTGATGTACTGTTCCAGTCGCTTTTAGATAGTCTTCAGCAGGATTTTGTTTGTGTCTGATATTAGTGATAATCATTTGTTAATCTTCACACTCTGTTGCATCATCTTTTTAAATTTTGGAATGGGAATAAATATGGATCTCTTCCAGTCAGTTGGTTGTCAAAAGTCATACACAATTCCTCATTCCCTGCCCATATATGGACTTCCTCAGTTCCAAATTAAAAATGATCTTTTGGACATATCATTCCCTTTTACTGCTAAGGTTTCTTCTTCTTCTGCTTGCTGTAAGGGTAATGCTGTCAAGGGGTTCAAGAATGTCCTACCCATTCAGTTGATAGTTTGCTTAGTTAGTCATCTATAATATGGAGATAAGATGAGGCTTGTCTTCTCTGTGGTGGTTGTCCAGTGCTGGTAAGTCCAGTCACTTTCTTTTAAATTTTTTTTCCACTTCTCTGTTTGCAGATTCTGAGCCCAGTCTGGGCACAGTTTGTGGAGCACCTGTGGGTTTTTGCTTATTAAGTCTTTACTCCTGTATTCACTCTCCTTTGTGTCTGATTTTGCTCTCAATAATTTCCTGCAAATTTCAGGGTGCTTGAATTCTTGTTCCTGAGTAGGATTTCCTGTCCTTTAATGTTTCAATGAGAGAGAGAGAGACTGACTTTTGTCACTCTGACTAGTTCACCATCTTATTGGAAGCCCAGCCAGTTCAGAACATTTTGAAAAATGTGCAATTAAGAATATGTGTTTTGGAACTAAAGAGTCAACCTTGCTTGCTTACTTAAAGTAAAGAAGACTTACTTTGTTGTAAAAGATCAAAGGCTACAGCCTTCAATATGGATTATATTTAAACATGAAGAAAATAAAAATAGTCACCACTGGGCCAATAGGCAATATCATAATTTATGGAGAATAGATTAACATTATCAACATTTTAATCTTTTTTGCATCCATAATCAACATCCTTGGTACGGGGAGTCAAGAAATCAAGACATAATTTTGTTAAGGAGCTCTCCTAAATGCTAAATGGCAATGAAGTCAGTTTAGGCTAAGATATAGCTGACCCAAGCCATGGTTGTTTCAGTTACTTGGTATGCATCTGAAAGTTGCATAATGAATCCAATGACAGAAGAAGAAATGATGGCTTTGAGTTGTGATGTTGAGAACAGTATTGAATATCCTATGGACTGCCAAAAAAATAAACAAATACGTTTTGGAGAAAGTACAACCAGGGTGTCCTTGAGGCAAGGATAATGAAGTTTTGTTTCATACACTTTGGCCATTTTGTTAAGAGGGCCCCTTTCTTGGAAAAGGCTATCAATCTTGAAAATGTGGAGGTTCAGCAAAATAAAGAAAGACCATCCACAAGATGCCTTGACACAATGAATGTAATAATGATGTCAAGTATATCAGAGATGATGATCAGAGACTCTAGATAGGGCAGAATTCAAATATCTTGTTCATAAAGTCAATTTGAGTTGCAGTTGACTTGATGGCACAAAACAACAAGAATAAGGAGACTTTTTGGACTTTATACAATATATGTGGCCCTGGAGGACATTATGCTGAGTGAAATATCTCAGTCACAAAAGGACAAATACTGCATAGGACCACTGTTATAAAGCAGGACTGGTATAGGGAATTGGGAGTAGAACAGGATTAGAGTTGATAGATAATGAACATTGCATTGGAACAGATGAAGGAAAGAACTGTTTAAAAGGAATATATGATTAAACATTATATGTATCACAACAGCCCAGAATAAGAGGTTCAGTGCAAAGAGGACTGGGTAGGAGGTAGGTAAGTAATTGTGCAATAATGAATGAATATTTAAAAAAATAGATTGAACTGGACGAGAGGGAAGGGAGGGAGAGTGTGTAAAATGCACAACAATGAATAAATAAATATCCAACTTTTCTGTAAACTTTGGTTAAAGTCACAATTAAAATGAAAAATTTTATTAAAAAAAGAAAGGATAATGGTAAAATCCTGAGAGGTCAGGACACGTCTAGTGTCTCGGGAGACTTAGTGTCAGCTGCACTAGGGCCTCTGGCTTCTTGGGGAGAGGCAGGTATGGAAGGCTCTGGGAGCTTGTGGCTTTCTCTGTGCCCCAAGTAGGTGGATAGGCAGAGTGGACTTGCAAGAAGAACTGGGGGGGAGGGGGTCTCTGGGCCAGATTTGAACAGCATTTGGGTATGCCGGATAATGGTAAATCCTAAAGGGCCCGAGGGCCTGTTTTTCATTGTTTTTGTTCAAACAGTCTTCTAGGTCTTATAGCCCTGATAACTTGTGGTCGCTGTGATGTGTCAAATGGGATAATGGTTACCCATGGTGGACAGTGTTTGGAGGCGCTCCCTGGTTGAAACAAGCTTGGAAGCAGGAGTGGCATCCACTTCCATAAATAGCTTGTCTCCAGAAACCCTATGAACTTGGAGAAAGGATGAAAGTCGCGCATGCAAGTGTTGAGAACTTTCATTCATAGAGTCCTTATGCATTGCCTGTGACTTGATGGCACTCAACAACAACAACAATACTTAGGACTAAATACCATGAGGGAAATTTCCTCTACCCTATCTCTTTTTCTTAGTGAGTTCACTAAATACTGTTGCTATCTTTTCTTCACCTAAACGCAACATTATATATACTCTTTGGATATACTTAGTACAATCCAGGGAAGTCAGCACATCTTGATTTTACCTGTTAGAGATAAATACATTCAGGGATGACACAAGTGGTGATGAATTTAAAAGATTAGATAACAACTTCACTTTGATGTATCAAAAATGTTAATCTAATTTTTAGAATTTGTGCTTATAGGAACAAAGCAATATTGCCCAAATTAAAAAAGGTTAGAGCTTAAGTTATAATATTCACAGAATGCATATTAAATTATTGAAGAACTAAAATTTTAAATGTTATTTTATTATTAAAAAGAGATCACTAGTTTATCCACTAAAATATGTATATATTTGTACATATTTAGTTATAGAGACTATGCTAATTATGTGGGAGCAACATATCAAGGAGTAGCATGCAATCCAAAGTTGGCTGCAGGAATTGCTCTGGTAAGCATATTTCACCTCAGATCTTCAGTAATTATATTATGTTTTATTAACTTTTTTAAAGTTAATATCTATGTTAACTATAGTGAAAAAATGTGGTGTACCTCTTAGAAGTTTTTAACCTAACCCTTACAGTTTTAAAATTTAAAATGTATTTAAAAAAAGAAAAAAAAATTTAAAATGTATTTAACAAATAGTTGCCATTATAACCTTTTTTCACATGAACAATTTAATGCCAGTAATGATAATTTGGAGCCAGTTTGGAAGCAGGAGTGGCATCCACTTCCTAAAGAACATGCCTCCAGAAACTCTATGAACTTTGATAAATGTCAGTAGTTGTAGAGGGGCTTCAGGTCTTTTGTTCGTAGAGTCTCTATAAGTTGTGCTCAACTTGAAGGCAATCAACAATAAAACAATGATAAAGGTTGTCTAGTGGTAAGGAGTTGCACTCTCAACCCAACAACACACAGTTTGAATCTACTACCTGCCCCACAAGAGAAAGTTGGACAATCTCCTGTGTAATTTACTGCCTCTGAAAACCCTTTGAATCAGTTCTGATGGACAGCACATGACAACAGCAATAATAATGAACTGTGACACTAGTGAAGAGTATATTGACTAAACCACAAACTTCCCAAAGAACAAATTTGTCTTAGAGGAAGTGAAACCAGGGTGCTTTTTAGAGGTAGGATGGTGAAACTTCATCTCATGTGTTCTGGACATGTCAACGGGTACTAGTTCTTAAAAAAGGACACAGTGCTTCAAAAAGTAGAGGATCCGAGAAAGAGGAAGTCCCTAAGGAGAATGACTAACACAGTGACATCAACAATGGGGTTGGGCATGATCATGATGATGGGACAGAATAGGGCAAGACTTCTATCTATAGTTCATGTGCAACATAACAAAAAACTTCCTAATTCGTCACTATCCTCATAGTTGTTGCTATGCTTGATCCTCATTATAGCAGCTAATGTGCTGGCCCAAGTCCTTGAAGGTCTTCCTGTTCTTCACTGACCTTCTACTTTACTAAAGCTGGTTTCTGTCTCTTGGAACTGGCCCCTCCTGATAGCATTCCCAAAATGTGTGAAGTCTCAACATTCTGACTGCTAAGGACTATTTGAGCCCTGGTGGTCTAGTGTCAAGAAGCTGTGCTGCAATCCTAAAGCCACGTGGTTTGAGGCCACCAGTTGCTCTGCAGGAGAAGGAAGGGCAATCTTATTCTGTGTGATAAACTGCTTCTGAAAACCAGCGGGAGGAACAGCTATGGGTTGGTTCCCACTCTATGGTATACAAGAACAATAACAAGGACTATTTGGACTGTTCTTCCTCCAAGAGATTTATTCTTTTGGCAGTTTAATATATATGGTAGTCTCTGCCAACATCACATTTTAAAGACATCAAACTTCCCTAGGACTGACTTTACTCATTTTCCAACTTTCATGTGCATGTGTAGTGATTTTGTCAGGCACACCAGAGTTCTTGGTGGCACCGCATATATTAACACTTAAGATAAAGTCCTTTACAGTTAGATTTGCTCGATGCAATATGTTGTGTTGTTTCTTGACTGTTACTTCCATGAGTATTGACTGTTGCATCAAAGTAAAATGAAATTGTTCAATCTCTTCTCCATTTATCTTAATAGGTTGTTGGTCTAGAAGGAAGACTTTTTATGTTTATGTAGAACTGTAATCTGTACTGAAAATTATAGAGGTTTCTTCCTTTGTCAGTAAGTCCTATGAATTTTCAATAAGCACGGTTGTATCATTTGCACATTACAGTTTAATGATTCTTCTTCCAATTCTGATGTTATGTTTTCTTCATATTGCCCATACTCTGAGATTATTTCCTCATCTCTCTGAATGAGTAAATATGGTGAAAGATACAGCCCTGACACACACTTTTCCTGATTTTAAACTATGGAGTGTACCCCCTTGTTCTCTTTCTTTAACTTATTTTTTGGTCTCCATGCTGATTGTACTCTATTGTACATCAGAACACACATAGACTAACAGTAAGGGCAACTGAGGTAGAGCTTTCAAGTATGGAAATTCAAAGGAAGAGGAATAGTTGTAAGCAGACACTAGTGATTGAAACATGGAATATGAGAACCATGAAAAACAGAAAAATCATGAGAACCAGAAAACTAGGCCAAGAGCTAATTATGGAACAGACTACCAACTACTCATATGCAAGTTCAAGCTGAAGCTTGGGGAAAATTAAACGAATCCACGGGAAACAAAATATGACTTTGAGTTTATCCCACCTGAATTTTAGAACCATCTCAGGAACAGGTTTGAGGCCTTGAACACTAATGAGCGAAGACCAGATGACTTGTGGGCAGATATCAAGGGTATCATCCAGGAAGAGTGCAAACATTCATTACAAAGGTAGAGGAGGAAGAAAAGGCCAAAATGGATGTCAGAAGAAACTCGGAACATTGCACTGGAGTGCAGAAAAGCCAAAGCTTCTCTGAACAAAGAAGAAACAAGTCAAGATACAAAAGAGCTGAACAGAAGATTTCAAAAGGCAGCACGGGATGACAAAGTAAAATATTACAATGAAATGTGTAAGGAATTGGAGTCAGAAAATCAAAAGGGCCGAACTCGCTCAGCATTTCTTAAGCTCAAGGAACTGAAGAACAAATTCAAACCTTGAGTAGCTATAATCAAAGATGCTTTAGGCAGAATAATAAATGATCCAGGAAGTGTTAAAAGAAGATGTAAAGAATATACTGAATCACTGTAATAAAAGGAATTGGCAGACACAGAAGAATTTCATGGAACAACATATGAGCAAGAGCCTATGGTGATGAAGGAAAAAGTTCAGTCTGCTTTGAAGGAAATAACAAAAAATAAGGCCTCAAGAGTAGATGGTATACCAATCGACATATTTCAGCTAACAGATGCTGACCTGGACATGCTCACCAAGTTGTGCCAAGAAATCTGGAGAACAACTACTTGGCCAACTGACTGGAAGAGATCTATATTTGTTCCCATCCCAAAGAAAGGTGACCCAACAGAGTGTGGAAACTATAGAAAAAATATCATTGATTTCACATGCAAGCAAGATTCTACTGAAGATTATCCAAAACAACTGGAACAGCACATCAGCGAGAATTGCCAGAAGTTCAGGCTGGGTTTAGAAGGGGTTGTGGTACTAGGGGTATTGTAGCTGATGTTAGATGGATCTTGACTGAAAGTAAGGAATACCAGAGGAATGTCTATCTGTGTTTCATTGATCATGCAAAGGCATTTGACTGTGTGGATCATAACAAACTGTGGCTGACTCTGAGAAGAATGGGAATCCCAGAACACTTGATTGTGCTAATGTGAAACCCATACTTGGACCAAGAGGCAGTCATCAGAACAGAGCAAGGAAACACCACGTAGTTCAAAATTAGAAAGGGCGTACACTAGGGATGTGTCCTGTCTCCATACGTTTTCAGCCTGTATGCAGAACAGATTATCTGGGAGGCTGGGCTCTATGAGAAGAAATGCAGCATCAAGATTGGTGGAAGATCTATCATCAATCTGCATTATCCAGATGATACACCCTGATTGCTGAAACTGAGGAGGACCTGAAGTGCTTGCTGCAGAAGGTCAAGGACTACAGCCTTCAATATGGATTGAGGATCAATATTAAGAAGACAAAGATTCTCACCACTGGATAAATTGGCCACATCAGGATGGATGGATGACGAGATTGAGATTGTTCACAGTTTTAGTTTGCTTGGCTCCACAGTCAACATTCATGGCACCAGCAGCCAGGAAATTAAAAGATGTATTCCTGTGGCAAAGTCTGCTGTTAGGGATCTCTTAAATGACTGAAGAGCAATGGTGTGTCTCTGGAGACTAAGGTGCATCTGTCACAGGCCATGGTCTTTGTAATCACTTATTATGTGTCAGAGAGTTGGACAATGACTAGGGAGGATAGAAGGAAAATGATGCCTTTGAGCTGTGGTGCTGGAACAGAGTATTGAGGGTACCATGGATTCCTAAGAAAACAAACAGATTCATCCTGGAGAGGGTCAAAACAGGCGGCTCCTTGAAGGCAAGGATCCTGAGGCTTCGTCTGACATACTTTGGACATGTTGTAAGGCAGGACCAGTCCTTGGAGAGGGACATAATGCTTAGGAGGTTGGAGGGATAGCACAGGAGGAGAAGGGCCTCTACGAAGTGGATTAATTCGGTGACTGGGGTAATCGGGATGGGTGTACTGGAGACAGTGCGATTGGTACAGGACAGAGCAGAGTTTAGGGCTATTTGTACATAGGGTCGCTATGGGTCGCAGGCGACTTGATGGAACATAACAACAATAACAACACCTACTGATTATGCATGACTAGAATTTTCATTCTTCACAATGTTATTCATAAATTGTTATGTTCTGCAAAGCAAATGTCTTTGTACGTTTAATAAACTATAAATAAATATCTTCTTAGTATTTCTTACATTCAGATAAGACCTATCAGATGTAAACAATTATATCCCGCATTGCATAATTTCTTTGACTCCACCTTGTCTGGCAGTTCTCTGTTGATGTACTGTTTAAGTCATTATTGAATCATCTTCAGCAAGATTTTGCTTTTGATAGATTTTGTGTGATATTGTTGATGTTGCTCTATGATAATTTCCATGTTTTCTTTGATCACTTTTCTTTGGCATAACCACACATACAGATCTCTTCATTGCTTGGCCATATTGGTACCATCCCTGGACCTTATTATTTTTTGTTTTAATCTAATTCTTTAGGGAGCTATGGTGGTGTAGTCTGTAGTGAGTTATACTGCTAACCCGAAGGCTGAGAATCTCTGACAGATTGAATCCATCATTAGCTCTGCATCAGAAACCTGATGGAGGGTGACAATAAATCCTAACTGACTTAATGACAATGACTTTGAATTTTTAGTTTCAATGCAATTTGGACTTCTACCTTCAGTATTATTGATTCTTGATTACATCCTAACTCCTGAATTGGCAGATCATCAATTAATTCAATATTGACCACATACTTTCTCACTAATTAAACTTAGTATTGAATTTGTGTTTTAGTTTTTCGCTTTGAGGAATGCCAAGCATATTTTTCCCTTTTGTTTTCATAACAGTAGGTTTTTGCAAACTTCATTATAATTTCATGCTTATCTTCTTGAGCAGCCCTTTGTAATCTTCTGTTCAATTCTCTGTTCAATGAACAACTTTGTTGTTCATTCTATTAATTTCAGATCCTCTATGTTTCGGAGTAAGTCTCTTCTGAAATCCATTTTGAGATCCACCCCCCCCCCCCGTAAATTTTAAATTACTTTTGTAGCTTTTTCCCCCTACTTCTTGTTGTTGTTGTATGCCATTGAGTCGGAACCAACTCATAGCTGATCCACCAATGGGTTTTCAGAGGCAGTAAATTGCATGGGCGGAGGCTGCCCATGCTTCTTTCATGCAAGATTCAAACCACTAACCTTTGGGACTTCAATGCAAATTCTAAACACTGTCTTCAGAGCTCCCTTAAATATCCTCTGACAATTCATCTGATCTTTGGTCAATAGTGTTTAATGAAACATATTTTTGAAATTGTCTCCAAATACAGGTAGGGTATCCTCATGGTAATTCTTTGGTTGTCACAGACTTGAGCTTTAACATGAAGTTAATGTGCAGAATTAAAGCTTTTTCCACAGCTTACCTCTAAATTCACTATGATGTTATTGAGCCTCTTCATCATGTCATTCCACAATTGAAGTTCATTTCTTTCTGGTGTGTGCATCTTGTGAGGTCCATGTGTATGTTGTTGTTGTTATTGTTATGTACCATAACGACCCTGCTAACAGCAAATCCAAACTTAGCACTTTCCTGAGCCATCCACAGTGTCTCAGCCATGCTTGAGGCTGTTGTTACAATCATTGTGTCAGTCCAACTTACTGAGGCTCTTCTCTTTCACTGACCCACTACATTTTCCAGCAATATTTTACTGAAGATTATCCAAAAACGACTGGGACAGCACATTAACAGAGAACTACCAGAAGTCCAGGCTGGATTTCGAAGGGGTCATGGTACTAGGGATATTGTAGCTGATGTTAGATGGATCTTAGCTGAAAGTAGGGAATACCAGATAAATGTCTATCTGTGTTTCATTGACTATGCAAAGGCATTTGACTGTGTGGATCATAACAAACTCTGGCTGACTCTGAGAAGAATGGGAATCCCAGAACACTTGATTGTTCTAATGCGAAACCCTTACTTGGACCAGGAGGCAGTCGTCAGAACAGAGCAAGGGAACACCGCATGGTTCAAAATTGAGAAGGGTGTATGCCAGGGATGCATTCTATCTCCATACCTTTTCAACCTATATGCAGAACAGATTATCCGGGAGGCTGGGCTCTATGAGGAGAAATGTGGAGTCAAGATTGGTGGATGATTTATCAACAATCTGTGTTATGCAGATGACACAACCGTGCTTGCTGAAACTGAAGAGGACCTGAAGCACCTGCTGTAGAGGGTCAAGGACTGCAGCCTCCAATATGGATTGAGGCTCAAGGTCAAGAAGACAAAGATTCTCACCACTGGACCAATTGGCAGCATCAGGATGGATGGTGAAGAGATTGAGATTGTTCACAGCATTAGTTTGCTTGGCTCTGTAGTCAACAGTCTTGGCACCAGCAGTCAGGAAATTAAAAGGCCCATTGCCATGGGAAAGTCTGCTGTTAGAGACCTCTCTAAAGTACTGAAGAGCAGTGGTGTCTCTCTGGAGACTAAGGTGCGTCTGATACAGGCCATGGTCTTCGCAATCACTTGTTATGCTTCAGAGAGTTGGACATGACCAAGGAGGATAGAAGGAGAATTTATGCCTTTGAGCTGTGGTGCTGGAGAAGAGTATTGAGAATACCATGGACTGCTAGGAAAACAAACATATTTGTCCTGGAAAGGGTTAAACCGGGTGGCTCCTTGGAGGCAAGGATTCTGAGGCTCTGTCTAACATACTTTGGACATGTTGTGAGGAGAGACCAGTCCTTGGAGAAGAACATCATGCTTGGGAGGTTGGAGGGGCAGCACAGGAGGGGAAGGTCCTCTATGAAGTGGATTGATTCAGTGATTGGGATAATCAGGATGGGAGTGTCATAGACAGTGTGATTGGCACAGGACAGTGCAGAGTTTAGGGCTGTTGTATATAGGGTCGCTATGAGTCGCAAGCGATTCGACGGCACATAACAGCAACAACACTGTCGTTTTATCTTTTCTTTCTTTTTTTTTTTTTTTAGCATCAGGCCCCTCCTCACAACATGCCCAAGTATATGGTTCACACTTTCACCATCCTTGCCTCAAAAGATCACCCTGGTTACACTTCCTCAAAGATAGATTTTTAAAAATTATTTTGTTTTCCATCATATTTTCAATACTGTTTCCCAAAACAACAATTTAAAGACATCAGTTCTTCTTTAATCTTCCTTATTCATTGTTCAACTTTAAAAGTCATATGAAGTAGCTGAAATATTTCACTACTTATGTTCTTTTTATTTGCTTATTTGTTATTAAATAATTTGCATGAGTAAGTTTTTGGTTGTAAAAACCTTCTTTCACAGGATCTCTAGGCTCATTTCTAGCATCAAGGCCTTAATTTACAACTGCCAATTATTCATATTTGTTTCTAATTTTTGTATGCTTTTGCATTCCAAATACCAGTTATTATTGATGAATCTTGATTTTGTGTTTGATCCATTTCAGACAACAGGAGCTGGTTGAAATGCCCAATATTTTTTTTATCTGTAGCCATAATGATATATTGCCTTAGGTGTCAGGCTGCTAATTAACTTAATTAATTAGATTAAAGTATCAAATTCATGAGTCATTCTTGAGAAAGGAATAAGCAGACTCCTCCCTTAAAAAGCTAATGGAGAGCCTGATGGAGGCCAGAACTAACTTAATGGCAATCAGTTTGTTTCCTGAGTTTTTAGCTTAAACGTGTGAAGTTGAAACTTGAATACTAGTTACATTGACAGGTATTTCCAGTGTCCATATGCATATTATCCTATTACTGACAGGGCCCTATGTCAACATAGATCCTGAAATGCTCTTTTTAAATGATTTGATGTTATTCCACTTAAATTTGTAGTTCCTGATGTAGTGGCATGTGTTTGTTAGAATCAAAATGACAGTTACTAGTCTATTTCAACTCACTTATGTCTAAGATATTAATTCTTATGCATTCCATTTCATTTTACAATGTCTAATTTTCCTAGATTCATGCTTTGTACATTTTGACGTTCCAGTTATTAGTGACTATTTTTTTTTTTGCCAGTTGTTCTGTGTCAAATAACATCAGAAAATGGAGGTCCTTCATTAGTTGAAAGCTTTACTTCATCCAGGTCAATAACAGACTCTACTTAGATGAGACATTGCTTTATTAATCATATTTTGAGTGCCTTCTAAACTGAAAGTCTCCTCTCTTCACATTCATTATTTTTTCTCCACTTATTACTACTTCATTGGTGACCCATTTTATAGCTAGTCGCACTCCTATCTAAAAGTCTTCCATTACTAGGAGTTAACTGTATTGTGACTTGACATGACCATGATTTATCAAGTATATCCCATTCTCTGTCTGGGTACATAGTAGAATTCCACTGTATCATCCTTTGGTATTTAAATGTAGCCATGTGTCAGTTACTTTGTCCACGATTACATTCATTCATTCATTTATTTTACAATAAAATCTTTGAGAACTATAAAAAAAAAATCCACTCTTGCTCCCTAGGAAGAAGATGAGCATTCTCCTCCTGAGCAATTTATAGTCTCAAAAATCCAATAGAGGATTTTATTAGTTCAAACTTACACAGCAGTAGTGAAAGAATGAGAACATGATTTCATTATTTCTTCTGCTTGCTTTAGCTTCTCCATGTTTAAGAACAAGTTTCAGTGTCTTTTCTGAATTCTAACAAAGATTTTGCTTCTTTCTTGTCTTTTTCAATGATCTTTTGATTTCTTGAGGCAGAATAATTATTGTCTGCTGTCAAGTTGGAACAGACACATAGCTGACCCTCCAATGGGTTTTCAGAGGCAGTAAATCACACAGGAGGAGATTGCCCATCTTTCTTCTGCAGATCAGCTGGTGTATTTGAACCATAGGCCTTTGCAGTGCAGTATAGTTTCTTACCACTAGGCTACCAGATTTACCTCATTAAGAAATCATTCAGTGGCCAATTATTTTAAAAAATGAATGGCTAATTGTCCTTCCTAGATTGTTTGCAAGCTCTGGTAGAACCAGTTCACCAGATGTGGTGGCACTGCTGATATTTTAAACACCATGGTATAATTTCTAGTATCAAATAACACAAAAGCCACCACAGTATGAACAACTGAATGATGAGTATTTTTTAAATAATAGTGTCACAAATCTCTGATTCATCTTTCTTTTTTTCCTGTTTAGTATCCAAAGGCAATGACTTTGGAAGCACTTTCTATGATTTTGACACAATTACTTGCGGTTAATCTAGGATTAACATATGATGATATCCACAAGTGTTACTGTCCAGGAAATGCTTGTGTAATGAATCCTACAGCAATGTAAGTTGTTATTGTTATCAAATGTGTATCTTTTAAAGAGATATTTGTAGTATTTTTAATATAGTCTTTCAATAATATAATTTTAAAAAAATATTTTTACTGAATACATTTCTGCTTACTTAAATTTATTAAAAAAGAATGAGTATATGATGTTGTAGAAATAGTGTTTAATACATCTTTACTTAATTTTATATAAAACAAGTGTATGCTGCTGCTGGTTTTGAGAGTTTCAAAATCGAGACTGAGGGCTTAATCTTAAAATTTTCCATAATGAGAACCTATCATTCCCAGATGTATTAATTGGTCTTATAAATGATTAAGAAAATGTCATATCTGGAGTACAAAATTATTTTTAAAGTGACAGTAAACATTTATAAACATCTTATGATAAAGACAAAATATGAAATAAAATATAAGGGAAATGTGAAGAAGGAACTTGGTATGTATGTTTAAAATTTTTCATTTTATACTGGTTTATTAACAAAGATTGAATACATTGAATACCAAATCTGTCACATTTCCTGCATCCCCTCCCATCTTTATCTCTCTATTCTCAGCCTCTCCCCACCTTTGGATCCTCATACTTGTTCTACAATAATGGTCTTAAACAGCATTTGTCCTTATGGGACTGAATTAGTTCACTTAACATAATGCTTTCCAATCCCTCCCAAATTAAGGAGTAATTTACAAAATCATTGCTCCTGCATGTTGTGTAGTATAGTATTCCATTGTATGAAAGTACCAAAATCTCTCCTCTTTTCCATTGTGGTTGGACATTTGGGCTGTTTTCATGTATTTGTGATGGTGAACAACACTGTTATGAATATTGGTGTATAAGTCTCCGTTTGTGAATCACTTCTCATTCTCTCAGGGTATATTGAAAGCAGTGGAATAGCTGGGTCATATGGAATTTCTATGTTTGGCATTTTGAGGAAGCATCAAACTGCCTTCCGGAAGAGTTGTACCATTTTACAATCTCACCAACAATGTATAAGAGTTCCTCTCCAACATCTATTACTCGCTGCCCTGTTAAACTTTACCACTGATAATGCAGTGAGATGGTACCTCATTGTGGTTTTTATTTGCGTCTATCTTATTGCCAGTGATTTAGAGCATTTCTTCATGTGCCTGTTTGCCATCCGAATATCCTCCTCTGTGAAAATTCTTTTCTTTTCTTTTACAAATAAAAATAGCAGACACTACTTTCTTTTTGTTAGGTGTCTTGAAGTTGACTTCAACTCACCCATCTATCTAATGAGAACAGAACAAACCTTGTTCCATCCTGTACTGTCTTCATAAGTTCTGCTTTGCTTTAGCTCATTTTTGTAGACTCTGTGACAATCCATTCTTTATTTCACTGACTTTTACTTTACCAAGAATGATATCCCTTCCTAATAACATGTCCAAACATATATGAGAACTATAATCTCATCATCTTTACCTTTAAGGAATATTCTGGTTTCATTTGGAAAATAGACTTGCTAGTCTTGTTGGCAGTCCAAAGTATATTCAATACTCTTTACAAATACAATTTTGGGACATAAATTGATCTGTGATCATTCTTATTAATAGTTTAACTTTCACATGCATATGAAACTATTGAAAATATCATGTCTTGTGTCAGGTACACCTTTGTCCTTAACATGCTAAACTTGCTCTTTAACGCTTTAAAGAGGTCCCTGGCAGGAGATTTCCCCAGTATAGTCCATCATTAGATTTCTTGGCTGCTGCTTCCCTGAGTGTTGATTGTAAATCCAAATGAAATGAAATTGTGTACAATGTCAGTATTTTATCCATTATTATGAAGTTTTTTATTGTTCCAGTTGTGAGATTTTTTTGTTTTGTTGATGTTTATAGGTAATTCATACTGAAGGATATGGTTTTTGAGTTTCATATTGTACAAGGGATAATGGCAACATGAGGATGGCTTAGTCTTAACCCTATTAACTCCATAAAGGGGAGCTGCCCCAATTAACAGCATCCATAACACAAAGCCAGTTCTCATGAGATCAGACGTGTCTCCCACACTCCTACACCTATTTCTAATTCCAGTACCAATCTTACTGTTCTATTAGGTATGAAATCTCACACAACAGCTCACAGGCCATACTCACAGATTCATACTCAAAATGATGGTGTGTATTATAGAAGTTAATAGGGTATAATTTCTCAGGACAATTTATCAAGAGTCACAAGCCCTTTGACCTTCAACCTTGAAACTTTAGGCCAATGATATAAGTCTCTCCCCCCTTTACTGTCTTAAAAAAAATTTTATTGATATTTTAATGAAACTTTACAGAAAACTTGGCTTTCCATTAATTAATTGTTGCACATTTCCCCCCATCTTCCCCCGCCATTTGCTTTTCTCTTTAAAAAAATTCTTTCAATGTTGCACAATTTCCTCCCCCCCACCCCCCATCCTCCTTGACTCTTTGCAACGTACCTCTTATTCTGGACTGTTGTCATACAAATAATACCTAATCATATATTTCTTTTAGACAATTGATCCCCTCATAGATTTAAATGCCGTTTTCATTATTTATCCCCTCTTAGTTTCCTCCCAACCCCCATGTTAGTCCAGTTTTATAACAGTGGCATTATGCAGTGTTTTTCCTTTTTTTTTGGCTGAGAAATTTCACTCAGTATAATGTCCTCCAGGGTCACTCAATTTGTATGATATTTTATGAGTTCCTTATTTTCCAATGCTGTATATGTGTGACTATAACACAGCTTCTCTATCCATTCATTTGTTGATGGGCACTTGGGTTTTTTCCATCTCTTTGTTATTTTGAACAACACAACAATAAACATGGATGTGAATTTATCTGCTTGGATGGCAGTTCTGGCTTCTTTAGGGTATATTTCCAGTAGTACAATTGCTAGGTCAAATGGTATATTTTTTCCAACATTTTGAGAAAGTGACATGTGCCTTCCATAGTGATCACACCATTTTACACTCCCAAGAACAGTGAAAAGGGGTTCCAATTTCTCCACAGCCTTCCAGACATTTGTTGTTCGCTCCTCTGTTGAACTTTGCTATTGTTACTGGGATGAGATGATATGTCATAATTGTTTTTACTTGCATCTCTCTTAGAGCTAAGGATTTTGAACATTTCTTCATGTTTGTTTGCCATATGAATGTTTTCTTTTCTTCCCCCCCCCCTTTACCCATTTGGTGATTGGGTTTACCTTTATCTTGTTGTGGTGCTTGAATATTCTATAAATTCTAGTTGTAAGTTCATTATTAGACATGTCCTTACCAAATATTTTCCCCCAGTCTGTGGCTTTGCTATTTACCCTGTTGGAAAAGTTGTTGGATGTACATAGGGATTTGATTATTAGAAGATCCTATTCGTCTTTTTATTCTCTCCTGGTTGTAGGTTTTTCAGGATGCTTAGGAGACCGTTCATGTTGTGGATTAGGTTTTTAGAGTTCTGCCAACGTCCTTAATCCACTTTGAGTTGATTTTTGTGTATGATATGAAGTGTGGGTCTTGTTTGAGAATTCTACATATACTTTTCCAATTTTGCCACCACCATTTGTTAAAGAGGATTTCATTTCCCCACTTAACTGATTTCATCTTCTTTTTAAAAAATCAGTTGACCATAGGTGATTTCTGATGATCTGATTTCTGGGTTCTCAATTCTATTCCATTGATCTATGTGTTTGTCACTGTACCAGTACCATACTGTTTTTACCACCATGACAGTGTAGTAAGATTTGAGATCAGGGAGTAAGATTTCCTCCTGCCTTGTTTCTCTTTTTCAGCAGTGCTTTGCTTATTCAGAGTCTCATTCCATTCCAGATGAAATTGGAAGTTTCTTTTTCCATCTTATTGAAGAATGTAATTGGTATTTGTATTGAGATTGCATTGAACTTGCTTTTGGTAGAATTGTCATTTTCAAAATATTGAGTCTTCCTATCCAAGAGCATTGTATATTCTTCCATTTCCCCTGGTCTCTCTTTGTTTCTTGTAGTAATGTTTTGTAATTTCCTTTGAATAGGTCTTTTGTGTTTCTATTTAGATTTACTCCAAATAATTTAATCTTATGATTAGCTATTGTGATAGGTATTGTTTTTTTTAGCTCCAGTTCTGTATTCTTTTTGTCACTGTAGAGAAATCCAACTGATTTTTGTGTGTTTATCTTGTAGCACACCACTTTGCTGAACTGGTCATCTATATTCAGTAGTTTTCTTGCTGAGTCTTTAGGGTTTTCTAAGTATACTGTCAGGTCATCCGCATGGAGAGAGAATTTAACCTTCTCTTTGCCAATTTGGATACCTTTTATTTTCTTCTCTTTTCTTATTTCTATAGCTAAGACTTCCAATACAATATTGAACAGGCAGGGTGATAGCAGGCATCACCACCTTGTTCCCATTCTCACAGGGAATTCCTTTAATCTCTACCTATTGAGAATGTTGACCTGCCAATTTTGCTGTCTCCTCTAAAGTTCTCCATTAAGCTTGGCCAAAGTTTCATGGTTCTTGTTCCATGGTAACAGCCCCATGTCAACTTTTGTATAATTCTGGGTCTCTCTTTTTTTTGCTGCGGTTCCTTTGCTCTGCTGTAGGTTTAGCTGGAATAAGAATCTCTAGTCAAAAGGGTAGAGACTGCATTTTCTGCTTCCAATTAATTTAATGGCAAGGCTAGATAATCCCCTTATGAACAGACCAGCACACTCCATTTTCATGTCCCTACCCATCATGCTTGGGAGGGTGGAGGGACGGCGCAGGAGGGGAAGGCCGTCTATGAGGTGGACCGATTCAGTGACTGGGATAATCGGGATGGGAGTGTCAGAGACAGTGCGATTGGCACAGGACAGAGCAGAGTTTAGGGCTGTTGTACATAGGGTCGCTATGAGTCGCAAGCGACTCGATGCCACATAACAAAAACAACAACACCCATCCATGTGGCACAGTTGAAGTCAATCAATGAATAGAAAAATTATAAACCCTTGACACCACATATTTGCAAATATTTTATAATATTTTAGAATTCA